GCAAACTGGGGGGTTTGGCAACCCTAACCATGGGCACCTTAATTGACGTAATGTAGCAGTCTGGTTCACAGAGTAATCAGCTACAAGCTGAAAAGTTAATCAACTACCTGTATATTAGCTGGCAGTTCTGAAAGCCTGCCTGAGGGGACACAGATCAGTAGGACAGGAAGGGCTCTCCAGCTGGTATCCATATTAGAAAAAGGGTGTGATGCTCCAGGTTCCACCCTCTGAAGTGGCCAGACTGAATGAGCCCCACACATATCTGATATTTAAAGGGGGGGGGGAACTGTGGAGAGCTCCACTCACAAAATCCCCCACACCCTCTGTTTTGGCTATGGTTGCTAGCCTCCAGGTGGGGCCTGGAGATCTCCCAGTGCTGCGACTGGTTTCCTGGTGATAGAGATCAGTTCCCCTGGAGGAAACGGCTGCTTTGGAGGGTGGGCTTTATATCTTGCTGACCAAAACCTCCCCCTCCCCAGGCTCCACCCCCAAAATGGCCAGGAATTTCCCCACCTGAAGTGGGCAACTTAGCCAGTGAAGGTTTGGGGACATGGCACTGGCCGAAAGAACAGGTCCTTCCTTCTGCCCTCTTTTGGTGTGACACTCACCACCAATGTTCCCTCTAAGCCATGGAGTCTTGTGAGCAAAAACTCTACTTTGTGAGCTACTGGCATTAAAGTTGTGAATGAGTGATTTGGCTGCTGCAGAAATTCATTTGCTCTGGAGCCCCATCCTTCCTGAGCTAAGACAAAAATGTGTGAGCCAGAGGCTAAAAAACTGTGAGTTAGCTCACACTAACTCAGCTTAGAGGGAACACTGCTCACCACAACCTCAACCTCGGAGATGATCAATTTGGGGAAATGAACAGGTGCAGTTGTCAGCTTTAGCTGTTAAAAGGGCTTCCGACCATTCACTGAGCAGAATTCTCTCCTCCCCTCCCTCTCTCTTCCTCCGTCTCCCTCTCTTTCTCTCCCTCTCTTCCATACGCATACTCACATAGCCCTCTGCATTGAGTTCTGCAGCCCAAAGACCACCCAAGGCAGCTGTGTGCCACTCTGGTCCCAGACACGGCTGCAGGCATCTGCTGAGGTGCATGGGGGGGGCAGGGGGCCCGCACGGTTGGTTTCCTCTTTGCCTGACGGAGCTGTGCCCACTGAGTCTGAGAATTGGCCCTTGGGGGCCCGGGCAACCTGGGACACCCTCCAAAAGCGGGGGACATTGAGGGAGAGTTTCTGTTGGGTGTCAGCCTGCCTCCGGAGGAGTCCTTTCCGTCCAGGGACAGGTTCACCAGTGGCTTGTGGTACGCCCTGGGCTGTGCTGCCCGGAGAGGGATTCTGAAAGAGCTCCGGCGCCATGCCATGCCCGAAGCTCCCAGGAAATCCTCTCTGGGCCTTGTCTGTAGTTGGGAGACGCCAGCCCTGCTGCGGAAGGGCAGAGGCCCCTCTCAGGGAAGGCTAGGGAGCCTAGCGTGCGAGTCTAGCGGCTGCCGTCCTCACGGGCCTTTCTCCCTTTTCATTTTGTCCAGTTCCCAGTACAGCTTCCCCTCCCGTCTCGAGCGCCTCCAATGATCCAGTGGGTTCCTACTCCATTAACGGGATTCTGGGGATTCCTCGGTCGAATGGCGAGAAGAGGAAACGTGATGAAGGTAGGGGGAGGGAGGGGCTCATCCTCCCTGGTTCTTTTCTCTCTCCCCCGTTCTGTTCTCTCTGTCCCTCTCTGCCCCCATTGCTCTGCCCCCTTCGTTCCCAGTCGCTCTGCCTCCTCTGCCACAGAGAGCCCTGGGTCTGGGTGGAGGCTTGCAAATGCCTTGCCTAGGAGATTAGTTGTAGAGCAGGCAGAGGGGCCCCTCACAGCCGGGCTGGGCCGGGATGTCCGGCATGACAGTCTGCCTTTCCCAGACCAAAGGGCTGGTGGGCAAAGCGGCCTCTTCCCTCCCAAGAGCAAAGTCTGCCTTCTCTTTGGGGGCCAGACTCCCCTCACTTGGCAGGCTGAGTGCTGAACTGCAGGGAGGTAGCCCTGAAAGGACCCACCCATCCACCGATGCTTCTGGCTTCTTGTCCTTTTTGTATTTGAAACAAGGCGTAGTGCGGTTTCCCCTGCCAATGTTCCCTCTAAGCTGTAGAGTCCTGTGAGCAAAAATTCTACTATTTGAGCTACGGGCATTAAAGTTGTGAGCAGGTGATTTGGCTACTGCATAAATTAGTGTGTTCTGGAGCCTTCCTTCCTGAGCCGAGACAAAAATGTATGAGCCGGAGGCTAAAAACCTGTGAGCTAGCTCACACTAACTCAGCTTAGAGGGAACACTGCCTGGGGGCCACCCCAGAGAGGGGGAGAGTTAGGGATGAGGGACTGGGTCCTTCCTGCCCCTCTTGGAAGAATTTAAAAACAAAACAAACAGCTGTTGCTTTATGTGCTCCAAATGTCTGTGTCTTGAACTGGAGGCCTTGCCTAAAGTGCTGGCTTGCATAAGTAAGAGTGACAGGCAGCTGAAGGCACGCAGCCATCACGGTGGTCTCAAAGAGTACAGGTGGGTGTCGCCTTGTGCCTGTTGCAAGAGCAGTGGAGCCAGGCCACACCCCGGCGAGACTCAGGGGGCCTCCTCAGATTGGGGGGACGGCTTCGTAAATTAATCGAAAGAAAAAACAATAACTTCCCACCCCCATGATGACGACCTGACGAGAACAGAGCCCAGCCTGCTCCCGGAAGGAAATGATTTCGAGAGCAATGGATCCGGGCCTCGTCACCCATCGCAAAGTTCTCATGTTCCCCACGGCTCTGCCTGCTCTTGTTGTGTCGACCGATGTGCCCATGAGTTCTGAGCTTAACTCCTAGGCATCTTGGGGCCGATTCAGATCAGGACAGTGAGGGAGCTGACACCTTTCCCAACACTCCACTTTCCTGACCAGAAAGGGAGGAGCCAATCCTTGGCCCATTGGGGGTCTTTAGATGTAATCCACACGAGAGCCAGTTCACTGTAGTGGTTAGGAGTGTGGACTCTAATCTGGGAGGACCGGGCTTGATTCCCCCACCCCTCCACACGCAGCTGCTAGCATGGCCTTAGGTAAGTCACACGTTCTCTCAGAGCTGCTCTCTCAGCCCCACCGACCTCACAGGCAATGTTCCCTCTAAGCTGTGGAGTCTTGTGAGCAAAAATTCTACTTTGTGAGCTGCTGGCATTAAAGTTGTGAGCCAGCGATTCAGCTACTTGTATAAATTAGCTTGCTCTGGAGCCCTCCTTCCTGAGCTAAGACAAAAATGTGTGAGCTGGAGGCTACAAAACTGTGAGCTAGCTCACGCTAACTCAGCTTAGAGGGAACACTGACCTCACAGGGCGCCTGTTGTGTGGAGGAAGGGAAAGGAGATTGTAAGCTCCTCTGGAACTCCTTTGGGTAGTAAACAGTGGAGTATAAATCCAATCTCCTCCTCCTCCTCCTCCTCCTCTTCTTCTCCTTCTCCTCACATAAGAGTCCTCATCAGGGTCAACAGCAGCTCCCTGGGGCCTTTTCTGGTGGGGGGGAGGGCTTCGGGAGGGGCTCCGGCTCCCCCTGCCTCATGGCCCTGGTGTGGATTGGGTCAGAAGATGCCTCATGGCAGTTCTGAACGTGGAACTCCCAGAGCACGTTGGGTCAAAAGGGCCAGGGCAGACACACGAGGTAGGGTTACCAGCTCCAGGCTGGGGAATTGCTGGGAATTTGGGGGGTGGAGCCTGGAGAGGGGAGGGACTTCCGCAGGATAGAACGCCATGGAATCCGACCTCCAAAGCAGTCATTTTCTTCAGGAGAACTGATCCCCTTAGGGACCCGTTGTGATTCCGGGAGACCGCCTGGAGGTTGGCAACACCTTCAGGGGTGACACGAGGCCCTTCTAGTGTGTATTTAGGCACCCAGGGGACTGAGAGAGGATTAAGGACAAAATTAGCAGAGAAAAGAATTGCCCCACTCAAGCCCCTGAGAGCTTATAAATCTTGGAGAGGGATTTGGGGGGAGGGTTGAGCCATTCCCGTGTAATTCATTCCCCTTCCCTTAGGACTTCTTGCGAGTTCCCCAGGCTTGTTCCCTCTGTTAACCAAGCTGTTCGCTGAGGGCACAACACAAGGCACTGAAAATGGCCCATAGAAAAGTTCAGGGTTTCTGCTTGGCTGGGGAGACATGCAGAAAAGGATTGGTGGGCAGAAGAAGAAGAAGAAAAAGAGATTGGATTAATACCCCACGGCCCTTCACTACCCAAAGGTGTCTCAGAGTGGCTTACAAATTCCTTTCCCTTCCCCTCCCCACAACAGACACCCTGTGAGGCAGGTGGGGCTGAGAGAGCTCTTGACAGAAACCACTCTTTTTCAAGGACAGCTGTGCCAGAACTACGGCTTGCTCAAGGTCATCCAGCCAGGTGCAAGTGGAGGAGGAGTGGGGGAATCAAACCCGGTTCTCCCAGATTAGAGTCCACACACTTAACCACTACATCAAGCTGTCTTACAAACTCCTCTCCCTTCCCCTCCCCACAACAGACACCCTGTGAGGCAGGTGGGGCTGAGAGAGCTCTTGACAGAAACCACTCTTTTTCAAGGACAGTTGTGCCAGAACTACAGCTTGCCCAAGGTCATCCAGCCAGGTGGAAGTGGGGGAGGAATGGGGGGAATCAAACCCGGCTCTCCCAGATTAGAGTCCGCGCACTTAACCACGACACCAAACTGGCTCTCCCGGAACATTGGGCACATTGAGAAGGAAAAGGATGAGGGCTGGGCATGCTCCTTGCCCTCCAAAGTTTAGGGACAGACTGGGGCTGCCAGCTCCTGACTCAGAAGTTCCTGGAGAGTTGGAGGTGAAGCTAGGGGAGAACAGATTTTCGGGAGGGGAGAGACTGCCGAAGGTTGTCGTTCCACAGATTCCTCCCTCCAAAGCAGCCCTTTCCTCCTGGGGAACGGAGGATCCCCGCCTTCCAGAGACCAGTTATAATTCTGGGACTGGGAGGGAGCTAGGCCCTGCCCGGTGGGAGGTTGGCCACCGTAGCAGCGGAGAGTCCGTTGGAGAGGGGAAGCAGAAGCAAGGAGGTGAGTGAGGGAAAGGTCTTTGCTCAGGCCTGTAGGAGCCGACAGGGTCTTGAAAGGGAGATTTTAATCAGGAGGAGGGAACTTCCCAAATTCTTATCCTCCCCCATCGCTCCTCACAGGTCCCCAACTGGTAACAATCAATTAAACATGTAAAAAGATACCATTTCTATTCACTGAAGGGAATGTGCACTTGCCACAATGTTTTGTCGCGTTTTGTCGCTGTTGTCCATTCCAATGCTTGTGCCAGTATGGCTTGTGAGGCCCAAACAGCTGGGGGGAGGGAGATTGTTTTCCGCCGTTTGCTAGTGCTGATTGGTGCTCGTCCTACGCAGACAGGTCCATTCATGGTCATAGTAGGGAGCGGGGACAGGAAAGTGGAGCGTCCTATGCCTGCCAGGCACGTCACAAACTCGAAAGGGCCACAGGAGGATTCTTATTCCCGCGGAGAAGACAGGGGCCCTTCTGCTCATGGATATGACTTTTACCCTTTCCAAACTGCCTTTGTATTCCGTTTTAGTAACTGGTTGGAAATGGATTTTTTTCCTGTCCCTTCAGACAGACCCGCTTTAGTGACTGAACTGATCTCAGAAGAATTGATTTCCCTGTTCATACAAACTCGCTTGCGTTGGGTTAGCAAAGCGTGGTTGAGCCGCTTTTGAGGGAAGCTGCTTCCTTCCATTTTCAACCCCTCCGTTTCACTTCTGAATTGCTGTGCTGTTTAAAATGCTCCTAGTGCTTCCTACAATGCCTCTTTTTCCCTTGCCCTTTTTTGTTGCGCGATCTTCCTCGGACTTAAAAAAAAAAAAGCATTCTAAGGTGAGCGCCATGGGGCTAAACCTCCGAGGGCAGGAGGGAAGCGGCCCTGTTTTAAAATGACCATAGCCCATTAACAGAAGGAAGTTCTCTGTATGAAACCCCGTCCCTTTATCGCTTTACTCGATATTGTGCCAAGAGAACAAATAACATCCGGTTGAAAATGGTGATGTGACGAGGGCCTTTGTCATGACTGCTCTCCTCTTCCCTTCCTCAGTTGTGATCTTCGGCAGTAGGAAATTGCTTTGCATAAGAAGGAGGCCAGGCTGGCATTCAGGTGAATGAAGCGCTAATGAGCCATCGGGAAGATGCCTGTCTCTGGGCATGGAAACGGATCGCAGGCTCTGATTTATAGGTGGGAGAGATCCCCACGTAGGGTACTTCACAGGAGCAGGGCAACCTCAGTTCAAGGAGGTCCACCGAAGGCTTTGAGAGGCATAATCGCTGCCTCCCCAAACCAAGACATAAGATCAGCTCTCCAAGCTTTGGCACACTTCTGGCCCCCAGGCCAAATGTAATTAAGACGAAGCTAAGGGAAAATGTTTGCAGAGCTCACTCTTGATTGAGTCAAGCGGCTCAGTGGGGAAAGAATTAAGTAAGACAACATCGTTCCGAGCCCCCAGGGGAATGCAAACCCCCCCCACCGCTAGAAAGACATAATTGCGCTGCTACCACCTCAGGCATTTTCCGCGAGCACCGCTTGGGATGTACATTGATTCAGACTTACGCAGATGAGCAGATGGGAACACTGGGAAGGTTTCCCAGGCAGATAATATTTTACTGGTCCA